CCACCCCCCCCCACCCACCGCAGCCACCCCCGCAGCCGCAGCCGCAGCAGCAGCAGCAGCAGCAGCAGCAGCAGCAGCAGCAGCTAGAGCTTGGTGCCCCTGACGTCTGCGGGGCTGCGGTCGAGGAGGTTGGAGAGGTCGTTGACTTTGTCGTCTTTGGTGGAGGGGCCCCCGTGGGCGTGGACTCCGGTGTACAGACTCTTGTCGTCATAGAACTTATTAGCCAGGGCCTTAGTGCCAGTGTAGACGGGGCCCCCTGCTGCAGCAAGCTGCTGCAGCAGCTGCTGCAGCGAGGTTTGCTTCTTGTCTGCGATCTGCTGCAGCGCCTGCTCGAACTCCGCCAGCCCGAGGGTTTTGCTGCCTTTTTGCTTCGCCTTCGCAAACACTAAATCAGCGTCTGTGGCGCTGAACTGCTTCCCCAGCAGCTTCCCGTCTCTGCAGAGCTTCACGAAAGTCCGCCCGTCCATTGCTGCTGCGCCGTGCGTGAAACTCTCAAACACCTCCTGCGCAGACATCTTCCTGCTGCAGCAGCAGCAGCAGCAGCAGCAGCAGCAGCAGCAGCGGGAGCAGCGGGAGCAGCAGCAGCAGCAGCAGCACGAGTGCTCGGGGAGTAAGGGAAAGAGGACTGGGCGCTGCAGAGAGAGACTGCAGCTGGCGGGGGCGAATTAATAAATGAAATGCAAATAAATGCAGCAGGTTTAACTCAAATGCAGAACCTGAGGTGTACGTACACCGCAAACCCCCAAGCCTACGACGCAACAGCCGCTCGCTCGAGCCGCCGCGCGGGCCTCACCTGGTGGCTTCTAAAAAGGAAAAGCAGCAAATGACTAAAAAGAAACAAGTCGGAGTTAATTTAAAATAAAAGAATAATTATTTGTGGCTCAGTGACTCTGCTGCTGCTGCTGCAGCAGCAGCACAAACGCTGCAGCCGCTGCTGCCAAGAGGGTGCGCCGCCGCCTAGACTGCTGCGCACTCCGGGCTGCTCGTTGAAGCCCAAATTAAACTCCAAATCAAATATTAATCCTTCAAATGAACTTCTTTTGTTCAATTTAATTAATTTCAACAAATAAATTCCCAATTTCAAACAAATAACCCCCAGAAGTTCCGCGGCAGCGCTGCAGCGGCCGCGCAACCGAGCCGGCGGTCACCTGAAACCGATTCGAACGGCTGCGCTCCTTCGAAACCCGAAACTTCTTTTAATTTCATTTTTAATTTCATTTTTAATTTCATTTTTTATTTTAAAATTCGAATTTAAATTCAAAATTTATTTCAAATTTCATTCAAATAAACCATTTCGCTCTTTTCGCGCCTCCCCAGCGCCCAGGCGCCGCCGCTCACGCCCAATCGGCCCAGCCTCCGCCTACGCCCCCGAACCCCAAACCCTAAACCCTAAACCCTAAACCCTAAACCCTAAACCCTAAACCCTAATTTTCAGGCCTTATCTTACAGAATATGACCTCGATATTTCATTTTTTGTTTATTTTCTTCTTTTAATTCAAATCTTCACCAAAAGTTGCACCCAGGAAATGCGAAGTGACCCTGGGGCTGCTGCAGCTCCTTCGTTTTGCGTCTTCTTTTGCGTTTATTTCCCTTCAATTTGAATTTAATTTAATTCAAAATCATTTAATTTAACATTTTAATTATTTTTAATTACTTTTAATTACTTTAATTGCCTTAAATTGCCTTAAACTTGCTTCAATGGCTTTGAATTCACTGAAAGCCTCAGCAGCAGCAGCAGCAGCAGCAGCAGCAGCAGCAGCAGCAGCAGCAGCAAAGTTGCAGCTGCACGCCCCAGTGCCATCTTTACCCCAATTTCGCGGCTTTTCATTTTATAAAATTTTGCCATTTTAATTAAATTTAAATAACTTTTTATTTCATTAAAGTTTGCCATTTAATTAAATTTAATTAGCTTTTAATTTCACTAAAGTTTGCCATTTTAAACTGACTTTGAAGTGAATTAAATGAAATTCAAATAAAAGAAATAAAATAAAATTTGGGCGCTTCAGTTCAGCCTCCAGCTGCTGCAGCAGTCTCGGCTTTTTATTTGCTGCTGCTGCAGCAACGGGCTTCGTCTCCAAACCCTAAACCCTAAACCCTAAACCCTAAACCCTAAACCCTAAACCCTAAAAGCGCGCAGGCTTGCTGCCGCGGCGCCCCGACGCGCCGAAAGCGCCCCGAGCTGCCGCGCACCCCCGCAGCAGCGGCTGCTGCTACTCCTGCTGCTGCTGCTGCTGCTCCTGCTGCTGCTGCTCCTGCTGCTGCTGCTGCTGCTGCTGCTGCTGCTGGGCCTCGGCCTCGCACCTGGGGCAGCAGCAAAGGAAGCCGTAGCTGCTGCTGAGGAGGGCCTGGCGCTGCTGCCTGGGCAAAGCCAAAGGAATATAAGAGAGAGTTAGTTCAGTTCCAGCAGCAACAGGTTTTGCTGCTGCGAGCGCAACAGCAGCAGCAGCAGCAGCAGCTTCCGTGCTGCAGTTGGGGCTGCAGCTGTGGTTGCAGCAGGACTGCAGCACGAAAAGCCCTGCAGCACGCAGCAGCAGCAAACTGCCGCAGCAGGAGGCCCCCCAGATCAGCAGCAGCTGCGCATTCCTCATGAGGGCCCCCAAGAGGTGGGCCACTGCTGCTTCTCCGAGGACTGCTGCTGCTGCTGCTGCTCCTGCTGCAGCAGCAACGGGCTCGCCCATCACTTGCTGCAGCACTGCAGCAGCGCCTGCCACGTCAAATGCTGCTGCTGCTTCTGCTGCAGCAGCAGCAGCAAACCGCAAAAAAGGCCGGCAAGCCTCAGCATAAGCTGCTTCCGGGGCCCACCCCGTGCTGCGCAAAGTTGCTGCTGCTGCTGCTATGCGGGCCACCACTCGCCCGAGGGCCTCCAGGCCTATGGGGTTCTCGTCTGCTGCTGCTGCTGCTGCTGCTGCTGCTGCTCCTGCTGCTGCTGCTTCTGCTGCTGCTGCTGCGGGCGCTGCCTCCAGCGGGCGGCGCAGCTGCTGGTCCAGGCCCCGCAGCGTCCGCAGCGCAGCAGGGGACAGAATCTCCTGCCAGCCATACGCCCACGGCCCTCTGCTGCTGCTGCTGCTGCTGCTGCTGCTGCTGCTGCTGCTGCTGCTGCTGCCAGGGGAAGGGGCCTTGAGGCAGCCCTGGGGGTCCCGCTTGCGGAGCGCCGACTCCGGCGAGTCTTCTGCGGGCGCGCCCACCCCATCTGCTGCTGCTGCTGCTGCTGCTCCTTCTGCTGCTGCTGCTGCTGCTGCTGCTGCTGCTGGCCGCAGCGGCTGCCCCCAGGCCTGCTGGTAGCAGCGGGGGCTGCAGAACCAAAGAAGATTGCCTTCAGCATCATGCATGCAAATGGGCTGCTGCTCTTCGTCTAGAGTTTCTTCTGCTGCTCCATTTGCTGCTTCTCCCGCTGCAGTTTGCTGCTTCGCTGCTGCTGCTGCTGCTGCTGCTGCAGCCCCCGCGCTCTCCTGCTCCTGTTTCTGCTGCTGCTGCTGCTGCTGCTGCTGCTGCTGCTGCTGCTGCTTCTTGGGCTGCGTGGGGTCTGGCCCCGGGCCCTCGTAGGGCTTTATCTTGAGGCAGTTCTCGCAGAGGGTGAAGCTGGAGAAAGCAGCAGAAGCAGCAATGGGCCAGGCCACCAGGGGGGCCTCGATTAAGAAGACTTCGCCGGGTTTTAAGTCTTTTGCAGCCCGCAGCTCCTTTCCGTGAGCCCCAAAACTCACATAAATGTTTAAATGAGAGCAAAGGGCTGCGTAGTCTTCGGCCCACTCGAAAGTGTCCATTTTCGGGTGTACAGACATCCCGGAACACTGCGGGAAACCACTGCGAACGAGGCCGATCCGGCCTCAAAAGCGGCGCCTCGCGGAGTTTTAAAAAGGTATTTAAATGGAATTCTTTAAATTTATTTCATTGGTTTTGAAAAAAACGCAAAAACGCGGAGAAAAGAGCCCAATCGACGGTGGCTGCAGCTCCACTGGGTCTGCGCCGCCGCCGGATCGAAGCTGGAAGCTGGGCTTGCGGCGTCAGGGGTCCGCGAGGGTCTTTTTGGTTAAAATTGAATTCCTTTTTAATTAAAAAGAATTAAATTAAAATCAAAATTCATTTTAATTTTAATTTATTTCTTTTTTTGGAGTTTTTTCGCTTTTCCGCGGACTCCGACACTCCGGGGCTGCAGCGGGTCTGCTGCTGCTGCTGCGTTGAAGCAAATGGGAAAGTGTGGACTTTAACTTGCGAAAATTAAAAAATAATTCCAAAATTAAAATTCATTTTTATTTACTTTCAAAATAATTCTTTTTACTCTTTTAAACGACTTGCGAGCGCCCGGCTCCCTTGTGCTGCTGCACTCCACTCGCTGTGTGCATGCGGACGCGAGCAGGATTTAGGGTTTAGGGTTTAGGGTTTAGGGTTTGGGGTTTAGGGTTTGGGGTTTAGGGTTTAGGGTTTGGAGTTTAGGTTGGCTGGTGGGGGACACGAGAAAAGCGTGCACCGAGGGATTAGCGAGGAGTATTATGTGCCTGAGAAGTGGGACTTAGCGTCAAGGGTTTAGGGTTTAGGGTTTAGGGTTTAGGGTTTAGGGTTTAGGGTTTAGCGCTGATGTGGCTCTTCTTTGTTCTTTTTGCTTCTAAAAGGCCCCAAGAGGATAAATAAACTTCCACGAACAATTTATATAAATTAAAAATTATTTATTTATTTAAAATCATTTATTTATATATGATTATACATTTATTTTTATTTATTTATTTATTTATATTCATTTATTTATACTTATTTATTTATTTATTTGTTTTCCTTTCTTACTTCTCTTATAAATACCTGCCAATGCGTTCAGGTGTACATACACACATGCTCGTTGTGCATGCCATTTAAAACAAATTTATATTTATATTTATATTTATATTTATATTTATATTTATATTTATATTTATATTTATATTTATATTTGTATTTATATTTATTTAAACAGTTACATTTATACTTATATTCACAATTGTAATTATAATTACTTTCAAAATTCCTTTTCCAACTATTTTGTCTCGCATGCAATTGCAGTGTACGTACAGCCCAGCCCAACAATTCCCTTCAACTTTTGCCACTTCACTTGATATCAAAAATCATTTTTGTACATTTGGGGGCCCCCTGGGGTTTAGGGGGCCCCCTGGGGTTTAGGGGGCCCCCTGGGGTTTAGGGGGCCCCCTGGGGTTTAGGGGGGCCCCCTGGGATTTAGGGGGCCCCACAGGGGCCCCTGTGGGGGCCCCCGAGAGCAGCGGCCCAGGCCCAGCGCCCCAGTCTTGCTAGCAGCAGCAGCAGCAGCTGCTGCTGCTGCTGCACCTGCTTCTGCTGCTGCAGCAGCAACAGCAGAGGTGCTGCCTTGTAACAAGCTCAGCTGCCGTGGGCTTGATATAGCTGCTGCACAGATTATGAGGCTGGTGATCGAGGTAAAGGCTGCTGCTGCTGCTGCTGCTGCTATTGCTGCTGCTGCTGCTGCTGCTGCTGCCGCTGCGTCTCTGTAGAGCAGCAGCACAGATCTGGGAGCCCCTCGCTGCTGCGGCAAACAGCGAGCAGCAGCGCAGCAGCGCAGCCTTTGTTGACCAGTTGCTGCAGCAGAAAATCAGCTGCAGCAACAGAACCGCTGCAGCAGCAAAGCTGCTGCAGCAGCAGATATGCTGCAGCAGCAAAGCTACTGCTGCCTGGCTACAGCAGCAGCAGCAGGGCTTGTGTTGGCTAGCTAGAGCACCAGCAAAGCTGCAGCTGGCTAGCTGCAGTCTGTATTAGCTAGCTACAGCAGCAGCTGCCTATGCTGCTTATTGGGGGCCCCCCGGGGCCCCCCTGGGGCCCCCCGGGGCCCCCCAGGGGGCCCCCTGGGGAATCCTCAGCGGCCTATTTGGGGGTCCCCAGGGGGCCCCCAAATGACCTCCTGGGGGCCCCCAGGGGGCCCCTAAATGACCCCCTGGGGGCCCCCAGGGGCCCCCAGAGGCCCCCAAGAGGCCTCTGGAGGCCACTTTGGGCTGTGTGGCTGGCTGGGGGTGTTGTGTGCGTGCTGCAGCTGTGTGTGTGGCTTTTTTGGGGGATTTACCCTCAGAGAAGTGGAATTGAAGAGTGGAAATGAAATAAATGCATTTAATTGAAAAAAGAAAGTAAAGAGGGCGCGGAGCGGAGGTGGATGTACAGCGGAGCAGCTGCGGCTCCGGCAGCGGCTCTGCGCCGAAGACCGCAGCGGCCCGGCGGCGGCGGAAAGCTGCGGAAAGCTGCGGAAAGCGGCGCGTTTTGTTGCGATCTTTGAGGAAAAAGGAAACTAAAAGGAAAAAAAGAGCATTTGCAATTAAATTGCAATTAAAATGGGGCGAAAAGGCGGAGAAGCGGGGCCGGCAGGAGAGGCAGCGCTGCCGCTGCTGCTGCTGCTGCTGCTGCTGCTGGACAGCAGCGGCCGAGCGACCGCAGCGGCGCCGGCGTGTCCGCAGCCCCAGAGTTCGCCAGAGTTTCAGTTTTGAAAGAAGTGAAGAGTTGCGAGTGGCGAATAAATTTGAAAGTGAGAAGGAGCGCTGGGGAGGTGTACGTACAGCTGAGCGGGCGGCGTCGGTTAGCGGCCAGCGAAGGCAGCAGCGGCTGCGCCGGCCGCGCTGCTGCGTTTGCAGTTTCTTCTGGCCGCACATCTTTTATTTCTTTTGTTTGGATTTATTGAATTGAATTTAAAATTAATCTTTTTGAATTCCGCGGCGGCTGCGTCGGCTCGAGGCGCCGCTGCGCTGCCGCGCCGTCCGCTGCTGCAGTGACCTGCAGCCGAGCGCCGCTGCGCCGCCTGCAGCTCTTCGCCTTCTTTTCCGAGTTTTTTCTTTTATTTTAATTTCCCAAATTCATTTTTACTTTTAATTCTTCAAAAGGGGCTTTCGAGGAGTCCGCAGCAGCAGGCGCGGCGCGCGGGCGATTCCTGAGCGCCGCTGGCGCCGCCGGCGGCAGCAGCCCCCAACCCCCAAACCCTAAACCCCAAACCCTAAACCCTAAACCCTAAACCCTAAACCCTAAACCCTAAACCCTAGGCCCTGCGCCGGGCAATGGGAAACGCATGCAGCGGCTGCTGCGGCGACAGCAGCGACCCGCTGCAGATCCCCCTCGAGGCCCTCAGCGGCAGCGAGCAGCAGCTGGCGCAGCACTTTCGCCCCGAAATGGCTGAAGCCCTCAAAGAGGGACTTGCTGTCGGACTCATCCTCCAAGTGCGCCCCCTGCTGCTGCTGCTGCTGCTGCTGCTGCTGCTGCTGCTGCTGCTGCTGCTGCTGCTGTTGCTGCTGCTGCTGGTGTTGTTGGTGTTGATGGTGTTGTTGGCGTTGTTGTTAGACGCCCGCTTTTGCTGCACTGCCGGAGCAGCAAAGTCCGGATAGGGCTCTTCAGCTGCTGCTGCTCTTCAAGCCTGCTGCTGCTGCTGCTGCTGCTGCTGCTGCTGCTGCTGCTGCTGCTGCAGTTCGGGGTGTCTTCCAGCGAGCTGTTTGTGTGTCTGCGTGTGTGTGCCACCTGCTGCTGCTGCTGCTGCGCTGCCTCCTCCTCCTCCTCCTCCTCCGCCGCCGCCGCTGCTGCTGCTGCTGCTGCTGCTGCTGCTGCTGCTGCTGCAGGACAAGTCGCGTCTGGAGTGCGTGGTGCGTCTGAGCAGCGGAGAAGACAGTTTGCTGCTGTCTTGCGAAGCAAAAAGCCGAGTTGTTGCGCTGCAGTCCGTCAAAGCTTTGCTGCACAGCAGCAGCCAGCTGCTGCGGGTGGACTGCTCTGCGGGCATTCGCCCCACAGACTTCTGTGCTGCGCTGCACCTTGCTGCTTCGGGCAACTGCATTCCTCTTTTCTTTGCTTCTCTCCGCGACAAGAACCTTTTTCTGATAACCCTGGCCCACGTCCGCACCCGCAGCAGCAGCAGCAGCAGCAGCAGCAGCAGCAGCAGCAGCAGCGGCGGCGGCGGCGGCGGCGGGGGCGCGGGGGGAGCTGCTGCAGCAGGCGCTGCGCCTGCTGCAGCAGCAGCGCCGGCTGCTGCAGGTGCTGCTGAGGCAGCCAAGGCGCCGCACGCAGCTAATGCTGCAGCAGCAGCAGCAGCAGCAGCAGCAGCAGCAGAGGCCTCCCCAGGCAAAGCCAGCCGCACCTAATCTTTGTTTTGGGCCCGGCGAACTTCGCCCCGCTCTCCCCACTTGTCAAAGCAGCAGCAGCAGCAGCAGCAGCAGCAGCAGCAGCAGCAGCAAACTCAACAAATTAGTAGCAGCAACTTCCTAACTCCCGCGCGCGTCCACCCCTAACTGCCAAAACGACGCTGCAGCTAGCTAGCTAGCTAGCTAGCTAGCCACGCATGCAGCTAGCTAGCTAGCTAGCTGCAGCTAGATGGCTAAACACACACACAGCTAGCTAGCTAGCTAGCTAGCTAGCCAGCTAGCTAGCCACTTAACATGCAGCCAGCTAGCTGTCTGGATGGGCAGAATAGAGCGGGCGCACTACCTAGCAACTTGGCCAGCTAGCCACACTGCAGCAGAGCTAGCTGCTGCAGCTAGCTGCAGCTAGCTGTGGGGCGCGGGGGCAGCTGCAGAACTAGCTAGCCACGGGCCCCCTACCAAGCTAGCTGCTTCTACCTGCTGGCTAGCTGCCCAGCTAGCCACCGAGCTAGCCGGCTGTGGTCGCCTGGCTAGCCGTTCAGCTAGCTACAGCTAGCTGGGCAGCTAGCTGGGCAGCTAGCTGGGGCCCCACAGTGTGGGCTGCTGCTGCAGCGGCGCTGCTGCTGTTGTGGCGGTGTGTGCTGGGGGCCGGGGGGCGGCCCGCGGGGCAGCTGCGGCGCGGGGGCCCCTTTGGGGGTTGAAAACCCTTTTTTGTGGTTTTTAAAGACTTAGAAAAACAAATAAAGTCAAAAAGAAGAATAAATTTGAGTGTGGGGAGGCGGGAAGGCGCAGGGGAGGGGGGGGAGCTGCTGCAGCGCCAGCAGCAGCAGCAGCGCGAGCGCCGGGAGTGGAGGGGGGCTGTTTGGGCTGGTGGGGCGCTGCTGAGCACCGCAATTCGAACTGGAGTTTAAAAAGCAATTTGAAAACAAATTAGGGATTTAATTGGGCGAAAAAAGCGGAGTTTTGGGGCCGTTTGCAGGCGCGAGAGGCGCTGCTGCTGCAGCAGCAGCCGCAGAGCAACCTCCCCTCAGCGGGCTGCTGCTGCTGCGCGCGCGGGGCGTTTCGCGCGAAACTCCGCGAAATTAAAACGCGCAGCAAAGCCCAAACGAAGAATTAAATAAAAAAAAGAAATAAAACCGGCAGGGGGGGCCGGCGCGGCAGAAATCGGGGGAGGTGGTGTGGAGAGGCGCTGGCGCTGGGAGGCGCGCGGCGGCGGAGGCGGCGCGCAGCCCGCAGGGAGGGCCTGCTGCGCTGGCTGTTGGCTTTTTTTTGTCGAATTTAATTCAAAAAAAGAAAAAGAAATCCATTTGAGTTTCTTTTTTGGAGTTGGGAGCTGCTGCGCGGGCGCGGCGGCTGCGGGGCTGGCTGGGGTGGCCCCGCTACTCGCCGCAAAGTCGCAGGAGCCCAAGGCGTCTGCTGCTGCTCTCGCTGCTGCTGCTGCTGCTGCTGCTGCCCCCAGCAGCAGCAGCAGTTCTGTGTCTTTGGTTTGTGTTGTTTGATCTTTGTTTGTCTTTGGAGGGTCTCTGGGAGCCGCGACAGCCCTGCCGGCCCTCCGTGCTGCTGGCCGTGGCAGCAGCAGCGCAGCAGCAGCAGCAGAAGCAGCAGCAGCGCCGAAGACAGCAGGCCCCTCAAGCCATTTCAACTGCTGCTCAAAGCCCTTGTCTCCATTTTAGGCCCTTTCCTTCTTTCTGGGGGCCCCTCAGTCCCCCCAAAGACAGGCCGCAGCAGCAGCTGCGCCTCTGCGGTGTACATACACCTCAGCGCAGCAGCAGCGCAGCAGCGCAGCAGCAGCAGCGCCGAACCAGCTGTACGTACACCCCAGCCTCCCCGCTTCCTCCGCCTCCGTTGTCAATTCCCACTTCCTTTAAACTTCGACTCTGCCCTCGCGCACCTGCAGCCCGACACACGCGCAGCTGCTGCTGCTGCTGCTGCTGCTGCTGCTGCTCGCGCTGCTGCTGCTGCTGCTGCTGCACCCGGGGACCCCGGAGCCCCCGCAGCTCCTCGCAGCGCTGTAGGGCAGAGTCATGGGGAGGGCGGCGGCGGGGCTTCGTTTGCTGCTGTTGGATCGAGCCCAGGCTGATGCTTGCTGCTTTCCATGAGCCCAGCAGCAGCAGCAGCAGCAGCAGCAGCAGCAGCAGCAGCAGCAGCAGCGGAGCGCGCGGCTCGGGGCAGCTCCAGCAGGTAGCTGGCGGTTGCTACGGCCGGTCGCTGCAGCACTGCAGCAGGAGCGAGGCAGCAGCTGCTGCTTGTGGGACCCCCGGCGTTGCTGCTGCTGCTGCAGCGCTGCTGCTGCACCCGTAGGCAGCGGACTGCAGCACGGGGCTGCAGCAGCAGCAGCAGCAGCAGCAGGCGGCGCTTGAGAGGCCAATTAGGGCCTCCAAGGCCCGAAGAATGCAACCGACAGCCAGCGAGGGGGGCCTGTAGCGGCAGCAGCAGCAGCAGCAGCAGCAGCAGCAGCAGCAACTTGTTCGCGAGTTGCTGCTCAGGCCCGCGAGGCGCAAGCAGCAGCACCGGCCATGGCGGCCCCGGGGCCGCCCTCTCTCCAGCACGTGCGGCCCCCCCCGCAGCAGCAGCTGCAGCAGCAGCTGCAGCAGCAGCTGCAGCAGCAGCTGCAGCAGCAGCAGCAGCAAGCGGAGGGCGCTGCAGCGCAGCGCCAGTGGCAGCAGTGCGGAGGCCGCGGGCGCCTGCGGCGGCTGCATGCGCCCGAAGCAGCTCTGAAGGAGTGCAAGTGGGAAGCAGTGGCTCTTGAAGGCCCTGCTGCTGCTGCTGCTGCTGCAGGTGCTGCTGCTGCTGCTGCTGCTGCTGCTGCTGCTGCTGCTGCTGGGCTCGGGGGGTTCGCGCACTGCAGCACGGTCTGCGTGGACTGCGAGGATGCCATACAGACGCTGCAGCAGATCTTAGGCAGCAGGTGCTCCTGTTCGGAGTGCTGCTGCAGCAGCAGCAGCATCAGCAGCAGCTGCAGCAGGAGCTGCAGCAGCAGAAGCATCAGCAGCAACGGCAGCGTGTGGGCCTCTCCATTCAACTCACCCACCTTAGGCCCCCAGGTCCCAGCGCCTTGCAGAGAAGCTGCTGCTGCTGCTGCTGCTGCTGCTGCAGGTCCTTCCTTGCTGGAGGAGGCGCTTCCTCCCCTTCCAGCAGCAGCAGCAGCAGCAGCAGCAGCAGCAGCAGCAGCAGCAGAAGGCGAACCCAAGGCGGGCCGGCCCTGCAGCAATCCGCTGCTGTTTATGCGTAGCAACGTAGCAAAGCTTTTAGGCGATGGAGTCCCTGCGCAGCTGCTGCTGCTGCGGTTTAGTGTGGAGCAGCAAACTGCTGCTGCTGCAGCAGCAGCAGCTGCTGCTGCCGTCAGCCCAGCTGTACAGATACCCGGGGTAGACGGCGCTGCTGCAGCAAGTGCAGACCCACCGGTTAAGCCCAGCGGGGTAGTCCCCGCAGATAGCAGCAGCAGCAGCAGCTGCAGCAGCAGCAGCAGCAGCGGCAGGAGCTGCTGCAGCAGCAGCAGCACGCTGCTGCTGCTGCTGCAGGCAAAGCGGTCCCCTGGTGAAGAGAGCCAGCCCGTTGCTGTGGTGCCTCTGGACACGAGGGCTGCAGCAGCAGCAGCAGCAGCAGCAGCAGCGGCGCCGTGCAGCTGCTGCTGCAGCAGCTGCAGCAGGCGTCGAGCCTTGAGGTCGGGGGGCGAGGCGAAGGCGGGCGGCGAAGGCAGCAGCTGCTGCTGCAGCAGCAGCAGCAGCTGCTGCTGCTGCTGCAGCTGCGCGCGGTGGTTTGTTGCGAGCCCCTGCGGCTCTGTCTTTGCCCGCATTGACTGCAGCGGCTGCTGCAGGGAGCTGCTTTGCTGCTTGCTGCTGCTGCCGATAGTAGAGTATCGAATGCGCTGCCACACAGACACAGAGGAGCCAGCAGCAGCAGCAGCAGCAGCTGCTGCTGCTGCTGCTACTGCTGCAGCCGCTGCTGCTGCAGCTGAGAGCAGCGCCACACTCGCAACGGCTGCTGCGGCGTTGAGGGGAGGCTCAGGGGCCGCCGCGTCAGGCCACAGCGCTGCTGCTGCTGCTGCTGCTGCTGCTCCCGCTGCTGCTGCTGCTGCTGCTGCTCCTGCTGCTGCTGCTCTTTGTGAAGCAAAGGTGGCCCCCAGCCTCAAGGTCTTTCTGGGCCTGGTGGTGGGGGCCTTGCATGAGTACTTCTATAGGACGACTCTGAAGCGAGACCGCGTTGCTGCTGCTGCAACACAGCAGCAGCAGCAGCAGCAGCAGCAGCAGCAGCAGCAGCAGACTGCCCCTGCAGCTGCGCTGGCAGACGCGATGATTGCCTGGGAGAGCGCGCGAGCGGTGCGCGGGGGCAGCAGCGGGCGGCCGTCAGAGCAGCAGCAGCAGCACCAAGGAGCAGCAGCAGCAGAAGCAGCAACAGCAACAGAAG